CCGCCTTCCGCTTTGGGGACGTTTATGGGGAACGGTTTGGGGGTGTGAGCGCGTTCTTGTGGGTTTCCTCATTGCTGAGTGGTTCCCATGCGCGCGGTGCTGGGGGGAGGCTGGCGATTGTGGGCACCCCCCGCTGCCACCCGCGCTCCCTGCGGCCCTGGGGACACCGAGGGGTGGCCAGGACGTGGCCAATGCCCCTGGCCCAGCCCTGCTCCTGTCCCGGTACAGAGGGCGGCCTGGAGGAGATGGTGGAGGAGCTGAACAGCGGCAAGGTGATGTACGCCTTCTGCAGGGTGAAGGACCCCAACTCCGGCCTGCCCAAATACGTCCTCGTCAACTGGGTGAGCTGGGATGGGGACGTGTGGGACATCCCAAATCAAAGGGGTGGAAAGGAGCCGCTGGGGTGGGGCTCATGGTGCCATTGCTCTTCCACTGCTCTTCCATTCCATTGGTTCTGCATCGCTCTTCCATTGCTCATTCCATTGCTCCTCTGCTGGTTTGCCACTGCTTCTCCACGCAGACGGGTGAAGGCGTCAATGATGTGCGGAAAGGAGCCTGTGCCAACCACGTCAGCACCGTTGCCAGCTTCCTGAAGGTTTGCTTGGCTCCTGCTGTCCCCATTCTGTCCCCTGTGGAAGCCAATTCGGTGCTACCCCGAGCCCAATGTCCCCATGCAGGGTGCCCACGTCACCATCAACGCTCGAGCAGAGGAGGATGTGGAGCCCGAGCTCATCATGCAGAAGGTGGCCAAGGCCTCGGGGGCCAACTACAGCTTCCACAAAGAGAGCAGCCGCTTCCAGGACGCCGGGCCACAAGGCCCTGTGGTGGGTCTGGGGCTGGGGTGACGTCACCGAGTACGGGGAGATGGTTTGATGCTGGTGTTGGGGGTCCCACGGGGTGGGACTGCGGTGCCCTTTGCTGTTGGGTGGGTCCTATGGGGCGGATTCCTGTCCAGCAGGACCTACAGGGAGGTAGAAACAAGATGGAGAACAACTTTTTGTGTGGTCAGATGGAGTGGGGATGTGGGGAATGATGGGCTGTGGGGTCCCTTCCACCCCTACCGAAGGCAGCACAAAGCAGTGGGGTCAGCGTGTTTCTGAAGGGGGATGCAGAAGTCATTTGTGCAGCACTGCTCTGACCCCTCCGCTGCCCGCCCCGCGCAGGGCTCCGTCTACCAGAAAACCAACGCCATGTCTGAAATCAAGAGGGTCAACAAGGACCACTTCTGGGCCAAAGCCGAGGTGAGGGCTGCAGAGCAGCACTGCGGGTCGCGTGGCGGAGCACGGCGGGGCTGAGGCGGTGCCTGCATCCAACAGAAGGATGAGGAGAACCGGCGCCTGGAGGAGAAGCGGCGCGCGGAGGAGGAGCGGCAGCGGCTGGAGCGTGAGCGGCGTGAGAGGGAGCTGCAGGAGGCAGCGGGGAGGGAGCAGAGGTTCCAGGCACGCTCCAGCCAGATCGAGGCCCAGAAGTGAGTCCTGAGCACCTCCAGGCCCTTGCCACCCCTGGCCACCCCTTCTCTCCCCTTTGTCACCCCCCCCCCGTCTCCCTGCAGGAGGCTGCAGCAGGAGGCAGAGAGGCGGGAGCAGCAGCAGTGGGTGAGCCTCGTGCCGTCCCTGGGGCTTTTGGGGTGCAGATGTCCCCTTTGCTCACCCCCCGCTTTGGGGTCCGCGCGGTGGGGCCGTCACTGTCCCCTCTGGTGCCACAGAAGGAGCAGCAGGCAGAGGAGCGTGAGGCCGGGCAGCGCCGCGTGCGGAGAAGCGAATCAGTGGAGAAAGCCCAGGTGAGACCACAGCCCCACAGCTGGGGGTTGCCCCACTGGACCCCCCCCCCGAGCCCCACTCCACTCGCAGGAGGCGGCGTCACTGATTGCGCAGCGCCCGGGGAACCCACGGGACATCTTTGTGCAGAGGGAGCGGGCGGCACCTGGGGACACTGCAGCCACTGCACAGCCAGGTGAGGGTCCTGGGGGGACAGGGGGATGTGGGTGCCCAGTCGCAGCCAGGGGAGGATTTGCAGGCGGTGACCCCGTGGGCGCTCAGCTTGGTGCTGTTCCCATCCCACTGCTTTGTGGGGGTGCGTTGCAGCGTGGTGGGAATGCTGCTGGAGCACCAGGATTGGACTGGGGACAAGCGGTGCCCCGTGGGGGCTGACAGCTTTCTGGGGGGTTTCCAAAGAGAGGAAGGAGGGCAGTGCCGTCTGCCCAAAACCACCCCTGGCTGCAGGCAAGGCCCCGCCTCAGCCCCCATTCTCTGTTTCAGGCAAGCTGCGCAGCCCCTTCCTGCAGCGGGAGCAGGACGCCGTGCCGGCCCCCACCCCCCCCCCTCCCGGACCCATCCCCAGTGCCGGCCTCAGGTGTGTGGGCTGCCCTTCCCCCCCCCCCCCCCCCCCCCCGGTGCCACGCTTCCTGGTCCCGTTTGGAACCCGGTCTCCTCCTGGAGATCTGCATCCCACCTGGACGTGGTGCTGGGTGGGAGCAGAGGGACCCGGAGGTGCCCACAACCTCGCTGTGACTTTGTGACCCCTTGGCTCCCCCCCCCCCCCCCCCCCGCGGTTCGGTGCCGTGGGGCTGCTCTCGCCGCTAGATGCTGCTGTCGGCCAAGCTCCAGCGCGGCCCTTCCCACCAGCTTCTCTCCGTGCTGTTTTAGGCAATGACTCACGTTGAGCACCAGCTCCCCCCCTTTCCCCTCCCCTCCCCAAATGAGAAGCACCGCTCGGGGCTCCGTGACCCCGCTGTGGGGGGAGCGCTATGGCTGAGCTGCCGCCGTTCCCCCTGCAGGGCACAGCGTGAGCCCGATGGGCAGCCACCCGGATGGGGAGAACGTGTACGAGGATGCAGCTGACGGCGCAGCCATCTACGAGGAACCCCCTCAGGTTGGGCTCTGCCTCTGCTTTCAGGGTCCGGCTTTATGGGGCTGCATCCCCTCTGGGCGCCTCTGCTGCCCTCGGCCCACGCTGGGGTTGCTGCAGGCCCCTCAATGCCCCCCGTTCCCTTCCCAGGACCACGACGATGGAGCTCAGTACCAGTACCCAGCTGGGTACCAGCAGGAGCCCGAGCTGGCGGGGAAGGGGCTGTGTGCCCGAGCGCTCTACGACTACCAGGCGGGTACGGGGGGGGTCCCCGAAATGGGGGAATTTTCTGAAATAAGGGGGGTGGCCCCTCTGAACCTGGGGAGGTTCCTCCCAGGATAGCAGCGCTGCCCCAGAATTGGGGGGTTGCCCCCAAAATAAGGAGGGTGTCCTTTGAAACGGGGGGCGTTCCTTCAAAATGGAGGGTTGCTTCTGAAAGGAGCAGAGGGGGCTCCTATGGACGAGGGGGGTTCCTCCAAAATTGAGGGGGTTCTGCTGAGGGAGGTCCTCTGAAGTGGGAGGATGTCCTCAAAAGAGGGGATTTCTTCTGAAATAGAAATGAGGGGGTGAGGGGGGAGATCCTCCAGAGCTGGGGAAAGCCCTCTGAAATAGGGGAGGTTCCCCCAAAAGGTTCCTCCAGTAAGAGGAGGGGTCCCTGTGAGATGGGGTGACCTTCAGAACGAGGGGGTCCCTCTGAAATGGAATTCTTCAGAGGAGGGAGGGGGGGCCTCTGAAATGAGGGAGGGTCCTCTGAAACTGGAGGGGAGGCTCTGAAATAGGGCAGGTTCCCCCAGGACGGGGGTGTGGGATCCTCCAGAAAGAGGAGAGAGCGCTCCTAAACGGAAGGGGTCTCTCCGAGATGGAGGGGGTGCTCCCAGCATGGGGGGCCCAGGGGTTCCCCTGCTTTGTCCCACACCCCCCTTTTCCCCGCTCCCAGCCGATGACACCGAGATCTCCTTTGACCCCGAGAACATCATCACCAACATCGAGATGATCGACGAGGGATGGTGGCGGGGCTACGGCCCCGACGGCCACTTTGGGATGTTCCCTGCCAACTACGTGGAGCTGCTCGAGTGAGGGCAGCGGGGCGGGCAGTGCCCAGACCCCCCCCCACCACCGGTTCTTCCGAGCAGCGCCAGCTTCCTGCCTTCCTCCCCCCTCCCCCAGCACCGTGCTGTGCCCCCTGAGCCCCCCGCACTCTCTGGGGGGCGATGGCAGCACCCCTCCGTGACCCCCCAGCCCCCCTCAAGCTGTGGGCGCTGCCTGCCCCATTCACTGTGAAGGAGGAAGAGTGCGGTGCGGCGGCGGCCTTCCTCCCCCCCGGTTTGCTTTGGGATCAAGGACGCGGCGGCTGTTGGCCGCGGGTCAATAAAAGGGCTTTCTTTGGTGTCAGGACCCTGTGGGGCGCCCTGCTCCCTGTGCCCCCACCTGCAGCCCGTGGCTGAGGGTTGCTCTGCACCACTGGTGGCGTTTCGGTGCAGCGCTGGCATGGAGAGCGGCTTTCTAACAGCGCTAATGAGGAACCCTTAATTAAGAGGAAGCTGAGCAGGATGTGTTCTGCAATGGATCAGAAACCGCAGGCTTGGGGGCATTGTTGGGGAGGAACAGTTGAGAAGAGGTTGATCAGCACAGGCAGGGTGGGCGGCACCGGAGGGGCTCAGGCTGCAGTGCCCCACTGCCTCCTGGTCACCTCAGCACCCACGGGTGCTGCTGGGCCACCTTGCCCCATGGCTGCCGTCCGCCCCCCGCTGCCCCCAGCCCCATGTCCTTCATTCCAGCGCTGCAGTGTGGCACAGGGTTCACATCATGCCTTTATTTGTGTGCTGTGAGGATGGCACTGAGAAGGGGTGGCATGGAATGGGGGTGGAGAGGGAGGTGGCATGGGGTGGCATGGCCATGCAGGTGGCATGGATGTGGCGAGGGAAATGGCGCGGGCTCAGAAATGGGGGGCACAGGGGCAGCATGGGGGCAGCATGGGCATGGAGATGGATCCAGGAAAGATGGGTGTGGGGATGGCGTGGCCTCCAGGATGGGTTGGCACTGGGATGGGATGCCAGAGAAATGGGGCTGGAGGTGGCAGCGGGGTGGCGTGGGGATGGAGACAGAGATGGCATGGGGGTGGAATGGCCTTGTAGATGGCAGGGGCTTAAAGAGAGGAGTGGGGACGGCATGGCCTCGGACACAGTGAGGGTGGGCTGATGGTGCAGGGCTGGGTTGGGCTTGGAGCTGGCACAGGGCTGGAGGTGTGGGGAATACGGTGGGCGTGGGAGTGGGGCCACAGCCCGTCCCTGTGCCACCCTGTGCCCACGGCGCCGCCTCACTTCCAACCGCTGAAGAACTGCTTGAAGAGCGGCGTCTCGCGGCCCTGCGGCAGGATTTCCACCTGCGGGGCGGCGATGGGGATGCAGTGGGGATGGGGGGTCGTGGCCCGTGCCCCCCAGGCCACCTCCACCCACCTGTGTGTGGGGCGAGTAGCCCATGCGGGCGATGGTCTGCTCGGCCACGCTGAGGGCCGCCTGCCGCTCCTGCTCGTTGGCTTTGCGCCCTGCGGATGGGGACGTCAGTGCTGCTCGGGGGGGTTGGCCCTGTCCCCTGCCCCATCCCCGGTCACCTTTCCACACGTAGATCTTCCCCCCGGCGCCCGTGTCCAGCACGAAGCAGTCGTCAGGGCACAGCAGGCTCTGGTTGAAGGGGCAGCTCCGGGCCACTTCGCTCAGGTCCATGCGCCCCGTTGCGTCCGACACCTGGGGTGGTCACCGTGTCACCCCCACCCCACAGCCAGCACCGGCCCTTTGTCCCTGCTGCCACCGCCTCGCTGTCCCTCAGCCTTGCCCAGCCCCATGGCCAGCACAGCCCAAAGGATCCTACAGTCACCTATGTTGGGAACGACCTTCACGTCACCAAGTCCAACCGCCAACCTGACCCTCAGTGCAGTGTCCACACATCCCTTATGTACCCACAGCAAAGCCCTGGGCGTCCCAGGCCAGGCTGGACGGAGCTTTGGGCAACCTGACCCACAGCACGGGGGTCCCTGAGCCCTGCCCAGCCCCACGCATCCCTCGTGCCTTGCCTTGTAGAGAACGGCCATCCCCGCCTTCCGATCGGCCGCGGCGTCCTCCTCAGGGCTGCTCTCCGTCAAGGTGGGCTTTGGGCCCAGCACCTGCAGCATCTCGGGGGGCTCCTCGCCGTCCAGCACCGTCTCCAGGCGCGCTTTGCCGCCCCGCTCGCTGTCACGGATGGCTGCAGCCAGCTCCTGAGCCCGGCTGCGCTCCAGGACGTTGCTCTGCGCCCCGCACCACGTGAAGATGGCCTGGGGACAGGGATGGCAACGTGTGTCCAAGGCCACCCGAAGGGACGTGTGCCCGGATGGATGGATGGATGGATGGATGGATGGATGGATGGATGGATGGATGCACAGCCGGAGGGACAGGCAGGCATTGCAACAGATGGACACCCAAAAAGATGGGTGAAGACCTCTGTGGAAGGACAGACAGACACCCAGAAGGACCACTAGACACACAGAAAGCCTAACAACCCTATGGGCTCATGGCTGTTTTGACAGACAGATACCCCAACAGAGGGACATCCAGAAGGACAGACAGACATCCCAGTAGATGGACTCCCAAATGGACAGGCGGACATGTGGGAAAACAGTCAGATGCTGTTCTGAACAGATGGATGCTTTGACAGACGGACGCCCCAACAGATGGACACACAGAAAGGCAGGTGAAGAACCCAACAGAGCAATACTCAGAACAGACACCCAGGAGAGCTGAACACCCAGATGGACAGTCGGACACCCCTATGGACACATGGATGCTCAACAGACAGACAGACAGACGCCCCAACAGATGAACAGCCAGCAGGACAGCCAGCCTGCCTACAGATGGAGAGCCGCCCTGACGACCATAAGGACACCCAACGGACAGACGGACACCCGGACGGACACACCGCACTTCCTGCACCACGCAGAAGGATCTGGGGGACAGGGAAGGGACGGCAGCGCCGCAGCCTCGCACCTCTCCCAGGTCCAGGATGAAGCAGTCGCCGGTGTTGAAGCTGGCCCAGCTCAGGTCCCGCTCCGCGGCCCGGATGTTCCTGCGGCCCTTCACCTGGTACAGCCGGCGCTCGGGGCCAGCGCTGCGCCGCGCCGCCTTGAAGGCCGAGTCCACGCCGCCCTCCTGCCGGCACGGCGTGCTGAGCGCCCAGCACGGACCCCGACCCACTGCCGGCACCCGCCGGCCCCACCAGGGCTACCCGAGATCCCCTCGGTGGCGCCCAGCTCCCATCAGGGCCACCCGACGGCCCGCTGGCGATGCCCGGTGCCCTTCAGGGTTACCCGAGAGCCCACGGGCGACGCTCCTTGCTGGGCGGTGATGCCCAGCCCCACACCTGGTAGGTGATGCCGCGGGGGAAGTAGCCCATGAACTCATCGGACTCGTGGCCCTGCGCCTCGCGGTGGGTGACGGGCCGCTCGCCCAGCAGCGCGTTCAGCTGGGTGCTCAGCAGGGCGCAGCCGCCCCGCTCGTCCTGCGACGCCTCCCGGCCTGCGGTGGGCAACGACAGCTCAGCCGGACCCCCGCGTCCCCCCGCCGCCCCGCCGCCCCGTTGCTCACCGATCCAGAGGTGCAGGTGGGCTCGCTCCTCGGACCCCAGGTGCAGCACCAGGTAGGCGTCCCCGGAAAAGAAGACGCCCCACGAGCTCTCAGGGACCGGCACCGGGCGCAGCTTCTCCACGCGCCAGATGTGCAGCCCAGGGTGGGTGGGCGCGGGGCCGAAGGGGGAACCGCTGCGAGGAGAGGGGCGTTGGTGAGGGGTCTTTGGGGTTATGGGGCGGGGGGAGGGTTTGGAGGGTGGGGGACCTTTTGGGGAGGGCCGTGTACATGGCGTCGGGAAGGCGGTGGACGGATGGACAGACAGTTGGAGAGACGGGTTGGCACCCCAAGAGGGAGATGGATGCCCTGATGGACAGAAGGACAGACAGAAGTGTGGTCAGACCCCCACCACAGACACCCTATGGACAGATGGATGCCCCTACAGACAGATGGACACAACCCCCACCGCAGACACTCTGACAGACAGACAGACACCCCTGTGAGCCACACAGACGGACGGACACCTGGACAAACACAGAAGGAGAAGGCGAGGCAGAACACCCCGATGGACAGACAGGAGGACACCCGGACGGACACCCAGACAAACAGGCGGACGCCCCAACAGCCGCGGGACACCCGGAAGCAGCAGTCAGACGCCGCTGACTCAAGCAGGAAAGGGTGCGGACGCCGGGAGGGGCTGGGGGGGCGGGTCTGGCCCTGCGCGTCCCCCCCGCCCTGCGCGCGTGGCCACGGGGGGCTGCTGGCATGAGACCCCCAGCCGGGAGTCGGTGCGGCACGGGGTTCCTGGGGGTCCCGGAGCCCTGCTGGCGGGGGCGCTATGGGGATGCACCGGGGGGGGGGCTGTGCTGCGAATTCTAATGCGGGAGTCCGGGGGTCCTGCTGGAGAGGGAGCTCCTGTACTGGGATTGCTGGATGGGGCGACTGGAAGTGGGGGGGGGGCTGCACTGATACTGGGGGGGGGCAGCACCGAGGGGACCGGGGAGCGTCGGGTGAACTGGGGGCACCGGGAAGTTACTGGGAGGAACTGGGAAGCTGTGGTCGCCACACGGCAGCCCCCCTCGCCCGCCACCCCCGCCGCGGCGCGTCTGGGCGCTGAGTCACAGCCGGGCTGGGGGCCACGCGTGTGACGAGCGCGGGGGGGCTCGGCCACGTGGCTCGGCCTCCGTGGGGCCCGGGGAGCCTGCGGGGCCCGGTGGAGGGACTGGGGGAGCGGGATGGGGACAACAGGGGTGACCCCGATGCTGGGCGGCACCCAGGGGTGGTCCTGAGCCCGGTGCCAATGCAGGGACGGCGCCGTGCCCGCTCCCGTGCGGCGCCAGTGCCACGGAGAGCCGGTCCTGAGCGGAGCGAGGGAGCGGTGCTGTGCGGTGCTGTGCGGTGCTGTGCGGTGCTGTGCGGTGCTGCTGCCCTGCGGTGCCCATGCAGCACCGACGCGATGGAGCGCAGTGGCAGCGCAGTGCTGTGCAGTGCCAAGGGCAGGGCTGCACCCCTGCAGCGCCAGTGCAATGCCAGTGCAGTGGCAGTGTGCTGTGAGTGCGATACCAGCGCGATATCAGTGCGATATCAGTGCGATATCAGCGCGATGCCCTCGCAGCTCCGTCCCACGCCCTCAGTACCGCTCCGGCCCGCGCCGGTCCCCCCGCAGGGCGGTGCCGCCCCTCCCCCCCCCCCCATCCCGTCCCGTCCCGTCCCGCTCCGCCCGGTGCCGCTCCGCCATGCCGCCCCGCTCCGCCGCTTTTCTCCCGCTGCTGCTGCTGCTCCCGCTGCTGCCCGGGGCCGGGCCGGGCCCCGCCGCTCCCGCACTGACGGACGCGGAGATCGAAGAGTTCCTGCGCGGTTTCCTGGCGCCCGTGGACGGCGTTGCGGGAGGGGATGGCAGCGATGTGCGGCTCGGAGCTCAGCCCGGGACCGGCGGGGAGCGGGGAGCGGGGAACGGTGGTGAGCGCGGGGCGGGGGGGCACGGGGGGCTGGGGGAAAGGGTGACGGGATGGGGGTCGTGGTTTGGGAAAGGGGCTGGGGGGAGGGTGATGGGGTGGGGGGCGCTGGGATGGGGGTAAGGGGATGGAAGCGATGGGATGGGGGTCGTGGGGTGGGAGCAAAGGGATGGAGGGAGATGGGAAAGTGGTAACGGGATGGGGATAATGGAGTGGGAATGGGGGACTGGGGGAGAGGGACTGGGATGGGGAAATGGGATGGAGGGAGCTGGGAGAGTGGTAGTAGGATGGGGAAAATGGGGTGGTAATGGGCAGCTGGGGGGGGGAGGGAATGGGGTGGGGGTAATGGGATGGAAGCGATGGGATGGGAGTAATGGGGTGGGGGATAATGGGATGGGGGTGATGGGGTGGAATGTGGGACTGGGGAGGGAAGAACTGGGATGGGGGTAATGGGGTGTGAAGGGGTGGGGGGAACTGGGGTGGGGGTAATGGGATGGAAGTGATTGGATGGGTGTAATGGGATGGGGGTAATGGAGTGTGGGGCACTGGAGTGGTGGAACTGGGATGGGAGGAACTGGAATGAGGACACTGGGATGGGGGAGAATTGAGGTGGGGGCACTGGGATGAAGGGAACTGGGATGAGGGGAGCCAAGATGAGAGCACTGGGATGGGGGTAATGACACGGGGGGAACGGGGGGGTGTGAAATGAGGCGGGGTGAACTGAGATTGACAGAACTGGAAGTGCTGGGCAGGGCTGGGGGCACTGAGTGGGGGCAGAGGGGGGGTTGGGGGCACTTGGCAGGGGGTGCCTCAACCCCACCCTGCTCCCACAGAGCCCCCGCAGCGGCTGACGGAGCCTGAGGAACCCAAGAAGCCCAAGAAGGACAAAGGGCCCAAGCCCACCAAGAAACCCAAAGAGAGACCCCGGGGCTCCAAGAAGGACAGGGACAGGGACAGGGACAAGAAGGCTGACGGGGAGAAGCCCCCCAAGAAACCCAAGGAGAAGCCCCCCAAAGGCTCCGAAAAGCCCCCCAAGGGCTCCAAAAAGCCCAAAGATAAATCCCCCAAGGAGAAGCCCCCCAAGGAAAAACCCCCCAAAGAGAAACCCCCCAAGGCCACCAAGAAGCCCCTGGACACGAGGCCACCGCAGCCACCCGACACCCCCTGGGAGCCCCCCACAGCCCCACAACCCCCGCGGGGTGAGGACGGACCGGGGACATCACTGTCTGTGGGGCAGCCGTGGGTCCCCGAGGGGAAGGAGGAGGAGGAGGAGGATGGCAGAGAGCGAGGTGAGCGGGGGGGGGGGGGCACCAAGGGGCTCCGTGGGGGCAAAGCGCAATGCCGGCCGTGTCCCACCCCACCCCCCCCCCGTGTCCCCGTCCCCAGAGGAGCTGGAGGAGCGGCCAACCCAGCGCTGGGAGTGGGGCCGGGAGGATCGGCGCCCTGAGCCTGAGGCAGGTGAGAGCCACCCCGTGTCCCCACCTCCCCGTGCCCTGCTGCCGTGTCCCTCATCTCCGGGACACCTCCCCGCCTCCTGACGTCACCCCCCGACCTCCCTGTCCCACGTCCCCGTGTCACCCTGCAGAGGTCCCTGAGGAGCCGGAGCCGCCGACGCTGGACTACAACGAGCAGCTGGAGCGGGAGGACTATGAGGACTGTACGGCACTGGGGCTCACGGGGCACCGTGGGGTCTCACCCCCTCACGGCCCCGCCATCAGTGTCCCCCTCTGTCCCCAGTTGAGTACATCCGGCGGCAGCAGAAGCCCCGCAAACCCCCAAACAGGAGGAAACCCGACCGGGTCTGGCCCCAACCGGAGACGGCAGCACGTCAGTGCGGGGACACGGGCTGGGGGCGACCCCAGTGCTGGGAGTGGGGTTTGGGGTCACCAGGGATGGGGGGGGGCATGGGGATGTCCTGGTGTGGGGGGTGCAGGGAGCCCCATGGAGGCGTGGCAATCCTACAGGGGTCATCGATGGGGACGTGGAGGTCCCTTATGTGGGCATTAGGACTCTATAGGGGCACGGGGACCTCTAGAGGTAAAGGGATCCCACAGGGATGGTGGGTTCCTGCATGGAAATGGGGACACTAAACAACAAGAAACCCTGTAGGTCCAGGGGGACCCTACAGGAGCAGGGGGATCCCATGGGACATCCAGATTCCTGCAGGGGCATGGAGACTCCGTGGGGGTTACAGGGATCCTATGGGATATGAACATCCCACAGGGTTCCTGCAGGGACATGGGGACCCCATAATGGCATGTGAACTCAGCAGGGACAGGAGAACCTCACAGGAGCTGTAGGAATCCTGTAGGGATATGCAGGTTTCTGCAGGACGTGGGGACCCTATAGGGGCTATAGAGGATCCCAAAGGGACACGGAGGAGCCCGTGGGAGTGTAGGGATCTCATGGAGATAGGGGAAACCCTTCAGGGATGTGGGGACCCCCTGTGGTAAGGGGGGGCCTCACAGTAGCATGAAGACACCGTAGGGACACGCTGACCCTGCAGGGGCATAGGGGACCCCATAGGCACCCCAAACCCTTTGCCCATCCCCAGCCACACCAGAGGAGCCCCCCGCACCGCTGCCCGGCCCCGTGACCGAGCGCGACTACGAGGAGGGCTGGGAGCGACCCGACTACGATGACTGTGAGTGACCCCCGGCCCCATCCCCTGCTCCCAGGGGGCTCTGAGGGGTCCCCAGGGGCATCCCAGCCCCTCACTACCATCCCCACCCCATAGTCGACTACGGGCTGCTCCCACCGCCCAAGCCCAAGAAGCAACCGGAGAAAGAGGAGGAGATGGAGACAGACGAGGAGAAGTTGAAGCCCTGTGAGAGGCAGTGGCACAGCCCTGTCCCCATCTCTGTCTGTCCCGTTTTTGTCCCTGTCTGATTCCTGTCCCTGTCCCATCCTTGTCCTTGTCCCTGTACCATCTCTACTCCTTTCCCATTCCCACATCTGTCCCTGTCCCATCGCTGTGCCCTTAAGACTGCTTTCCCACCAGGGAAGCCCAAGAAGGGTGGCAGCAGCAAGGAGGAGGAGGAGGATCCTTGGGCAGAGGAGAAGGGCCGGGACAGCAAAGGTGGGTGCCCCCAACCCTGCATCCCACTCAGCCTGTGCCCCCCTCACCATGCGCCTTTCCTCTAGGAAAACCCAAAAAGCCAGGTGGGAAGAAGTGGGAGCCAGATGAGGATGAGTGGGCAGCACCGGAGGAGAAGACGAGTGAGTGTTCCCATCCCTGTGTGCGGGGACGCTACGCTGCAGTGCCACGGCCTTCCCGTCCCCTGTCCCCACAGGGTGCCCTCCCATCGGCATGGAGTCCCACCGTGTGGAGGATGACCAGATCCTGGCCTCTTCCATGCTGCGCCATGGGCTGGGTGCGCAGCGCGGCCGCCTCAACATGCAGGTGGGCGTCCATCCCGTCCCCATCCCATATCCACCTTCTCCCCCATCCCATCCCATCCCATCCCATCCCCATCCCATCCCATCCCATCCCATCCCATCCCATCCCATCCCACCCCTACCCGTGTTCCCATTCCTATCCCATCCTGTTCTACCCCCATCCTCGTTCCATCATCACCCCATTGCTATCAGTCCCTATCCTGTTCTACCCCACTGTCATCCCATCCTCACCCCATCACTGTCTCAATCCCTTTCCCTGCTTCCTTCCCATCCCATCGTGACCCCATCGCTATTTTGGTCCCTATCCCCATTCCCATTTCATCTCACCCCATCCCATCATCACCGCATTGCCATCTCCACCCCCATCCCATCCCCATCCCCATCCCCATCCCCGTCCCCTCCTCACCCCATCCGTGTCCCCTTGCTGTCCCCAGGCGGGTCCCAACGAGGACGATTTCTTTGACGGTGCGTGGTGTGCAGAGGACGACAGCCGCGCGCACTGGCTGGAGGTGGACACGCGCCGCACCACCAAGTTCACCGGCGTCATCACCCAGGGACGGGACTCCCAGATCCAGTATGGGGCCGGCGGGTGGCGGGGGCCGGCGGGGCCGAGGGGTGGCACTGCGGGGTCCCACGCCGTCCCCTCCGTCCCTCCCGCAGCGAGGACTTCGTCACCAGCTTCTATGTGGGCTTCAGCAACGACAGCCAGAACTGGGTGATGTACACCAACGGCTACGAGGAGATGGTAGGGGGGGGGGGCGCGGGGTGACGCGGGGATGCAATGGGGACGCGGTGCCACCCTGCTGTGCCCCATTGCAGAAGTTCTATGGCAACGTGGACAAGGACACGCCGGTGCTGACCGAGTTCCCCGAGCCCATGGTGGCGCGTTACATCCGCGTGTACCCGCAGACGTGGAACGGCAGCCTGTGCCTGCGGCTGGAGGTGCTGGGCTGTCCTCTCTCCCGTGAGTGGCATCGGGGAGGGGACACGGGGGCCGTGGAGCCCAGGGCGCCGCGGCCACATCGCTGTCCCCGCAGCTGTCAGCAGTTACTACGCGCAGCAGAACGAGGTGACATCAGCCGACAACCTGGACTTCCGTCACCACAGCTACAAGGACATGAGGCAGGTGGGTTTGGTGGCGCCGTCCCAGCCGCGTCCCCGCGCCGCCTCCCAGCGCCGCCTCCCAGCGCCCGTCCTCTCCCTCTCCCCCCGCAGCTGATGAAGGTGGTGAACGAGGAGTGCCCCACCATCACCCGCATCTACAACATCGGCAAGAGCTCGCGGGGGCTGAAGATCTACGCCATGGAGATCTCTGACAACCCGGGGGAGCACGAGACGGGTGAGGGGGGCGTGGGGACCCGGAGGTGGCCGTGCCCCGAGTTCTGTCACTGCCGTATCTGCGCCTTAGGAGCCCTGACACCAATCCTGTCCCACTGCAGCAACGGCCAAAGCCTTACCTCACATTAACCCTACCCTCCCCTAATCCCAAATACAACCCTAACCGTAACCAAAGCACTAACCTCAACTCCAAATCTAAACCTAACCGTTATCCTAAACCCAACCAACCCTAAAACCAACCCTAACTTTCGCCCTAAAGCCGAGCTTTAACCCCGCTATACCTAACCCCGATGTTGGCCTAACCCACAGCTCAACCCTAACCCTAAGCACTAGCCCTGTTACCTATGTGCTAACACCAAACCCTTACCCTAATTGCAAACTTTAACCCTAAATATTATCCAAACTCTAAAGCTAACCCTAATCCTAACCCTAAACCTAAAACTAACTCTAGCCCTAGCCTTAACCCTGACCCTAAAGCTAACACTAGCCCTAAAGCTAACCCCAACCCTAACTGTGACCCTAAATCCACAGCCAACCCTCACCCTAGCCCTAAAGCTGACCCTAACCCTAACTCTGACCCTAAAACCAACCCAGGCCCTGATCCTATGGGCCTGGTGGCCCCATACGCAGCAGGGCTGAGCTCACCCCAGCCCCGCACCCACGGCTCCCCGCAGGAGAGCCCGAGTTCCGCTACACGGCGGGGCTGCATGGCAACGAGGCGCTGGGCCGCGAGCTGCTGCTGCTGCTGATGCAGTTCCTGTGCAAGGAGTACCAGGATGGCAACCCCCGTGTGCGCAGCCTGGTCACCGAGACGCGCATCCACCTCGTGCCAGCGCTCAACCCCGACGGCTACGAGCTGGCACAGGAGGCGGTGAGGGCGGGGGGCTGCGCGTGGGGGCACTGCGGAGGTGGTGGCTCTGGGTGGTGGTGGCTCTGGGTGGTGGTGGCTCTGGGTGGTGGTGGCTCTGGGTGGTGGTGGCTCTGGTTGTGGTGGTACTGGAGTGGTGGCACTGGGTGGTAGCTGTGGAACGGTAGCACCGGGATGCTGGAACCATGGTGGTGGCATTGGGATGATGGTAGCACTGGGATGGTGGCACTGGGATGGTAGACATGGGATGGTGGAGGCATTGGAGTGGTGGTGGCACTGGGATGGTAGCACTCAGGTGGTGGCAGTGAGATGATTGTGGCAGTCGGATGTTGGTGACCCTGAGATGGTGACACTGGATGATGGTGGCACTGGGCTGGTGGCCGTGGAACGGTGGGGGAATTGGGATGGTAGCACTGGGATGGTGGCTGTGGGACGATGCTGGCACTGGGCTGGTGGCAGGGGGATGGTGGTGGGACTGAGGTAGTGGCACTGGGACGCTGGCACCAGGATGGTGGTGGCACTGGGGCAGCAGCAATGGGATGGTGGTGGCACTGGTATGGTGACGGCGTTGGGACGGTGGCAGTGGGACGGAGGTGGCGGCAACGGGGTGGGAGTTGCGCTGGGGTCGTGGCAATAGGACAGCGGTGGCATTGGGATGGTGGCACTGAGACAGCGGTGTCACGTGGGAGGTGTTGAAACGGGGCAGCAGTGGCAGCGGGACGATGGTGGCGCGGGGGCAGCGGTGGCACCGCGGGGCCGTCGCCGCTCCCTCAGGGCTCCGAGCTGGGCAACTGGGCGCTGGGCCACTGGACGGAGGAGGGCTTCGACCTGTTTGAGAACTTCCCCGACCTGACGTCCCCGCTGTGGGCAGCCGAGGAGCGGCAGTTGGTGCCGCACCGCTTCCCCGGCCACCACATCCCCGTCCCGGAGCGCTACCTGCAGGACGCCGCGGTGAGCGCCCGCCCGCCCCGTGAGCACGGCGGTGGCACGGCGGGACGGGTGGCACGGCGTCCCCTCTCCAGGTGGCCGTGGAGACACGAGCCATCATGGCCTGGATGGAGAAGAACCCCTTCGTGCTGGGAGCCAACCTGCAGGGCGGGGAGAAGTTGGTCTCCTTCCCCTTCGATGCAGCGCGGCCCCACAGCGAGAGCCCCGCAGCCCCGCGCCCGCCGGACGAGGACGAGGACAGCGAGCGGCCCGAGGTGCACGAGACGCCCGACCACGCCGTGTTCCGCTGGCTGGCCATCTCCTACGCCTCGGCGCACCTCACCATGACGGAGACCTTCCGCGGGGGCTGCCACGCACAGGACGTCACCGACGCCATGGGCATCGTGCAGGGGGCCAAGTGGCGGCCGCGGGCTGGCAGTAAGTGGGCGCCCAGGCGGAGCCCCTTGGACTCTGAGGAGACGTTCCCACCTCAGGGTGCCGCTGTGAGCCGGGGGTGGGGGAGGCGGTGACCCGCAGCGCCGATCCCACGGGGATTTCGGCAGGCATGAATGACTTCAGCTACCTGCACACCAACTGCCTGGAGCTCTCCATCTACCTGGGCTGCGACAAGTTCCCCCATGAGAGCGAGCTGCAGCAGGAGTGGGAGAACAACAAGGAGTCACTGCTCACCTTCATGGAGCAGGTAGGCACGGGGAGGCGGCGCCGGGAGCTGGCCGTCGTCCCCTCGCACCGAACGCGCTGCCCTCGTCCCCTTCTGTGCAGACCCACCGCGGGATCAAGGGTTTGGTGACGGACCAGCAGGGAGAGCCCATCGCCAACGCCACCATCGTGGTGAGCGGCATCAAGCACAGCATCAGGACAGGTAGGAGCCGGGTCGGGGCGCCACGGGCTGCGGCACTCGGACCCTCGGACCCCGCGGCCCCTCACCCCTCGGCACCGCAGCCAGCGGCGGCGACTACTGGCGCATCCTGAACCCGGGCGAATACCGCGTGTCGGCGCGGGCCGAGGGCTACAACCCCAGCACGAAGACCTGCAGCGTCTTCTACGACATCGGCGCCACGCAGTGCAACTTCGTGCTGGCGCGCTCCAACTGGAAGCGCATCCGCGAGATCATGGCCATGAACGGGAACCGGCCCATCCGCCGCGTGGTGCCCGGCCGCCCCATGACGCTCCGCGAGCGCCTGCGGCTGCGCCAGCGCCTGCGGCTCCGGCAGCGGCTCCGCGAGCGGATGAGGCTGCGGCGACTGAACGCCACCGCCGGCCCCGCCGCCCTCCCCACCGCCCCGCCCCCCCGCACGGCGCTGCCCACGTTCAGCAGCACCACGAACGCGCCGTGGAGCCAGGAGCCGCCCACGGCGGGCACCTGGGAGATGGAGACCGAGACGGAGGTGGTGACCGAGCTGGTGACGGTGACGGAGGTGTGGGACGAGGGCACGGGGACGGCGCGGCCCTTCACCACCGCGGAGACCTACACCGTGAACTTTGGCGACTAGGGGACGCCCGGCCCCTCGCTCCGCCTCCCGGCGCTCCGCGTGGGCACCGTGCGCGCTCCCGGAGCCCCGGGCCGGGCGGCACACAGACGCGCGTCCCCGCGCCCGGGCACGGATGAAGCAGGGCAGGGCCCTGGCGTGGTTTTGTTACACAAATAAACAAAGCTGTATTGGTAGCAGCACTGCATTGCTTCTCCCACCGTACGGCGCAGGAGGGCGGTGAGGTGACGTCCGCGCCGCGCTGTCACTGCCCCACCTCCATGTCGCTGTCATCCTCGGCACCAAAGACGGAGAAGCTGATGGGCTGGCAGCTGAGGTCGCGCAGGTTGACGAGGCAGGCGGTCTGCGTGGCACTGAAGGCCGGCACTGCCACCAGCAGCACCCGCTGCCCATCCTCCCCTGCAGGACAGGCGGGCGTCAAACGCAAGCGGGGACGGGGACGGGCAGCAGCTGTCCATCACCCACCTGTCAGCAGCTTGGACTGGAACCTGGGCGCGTTGCCACAGAAGTAGACATGTGGGCAGTCGGCGAGGATGAAGGGATCCGAGTTGTAGAAGGGGTAGCAGCCTGGAGGAGCAGAGTGAGCTGCGGAATCCGACCCCGCACCCCACTGCGTGGCACTGGGACCCGCAGCCCCTTACCCAGCGTGTCGGGGGCCGTGGGGCTGATGTGCCCCACCAGCAGCGTCCACTCCAGGATCTCCAGGTAGTCGTCCATGCTGCTGTACTTGAAGATGTCGCTGATGTTTTGCCCCGACGTCCCCAAGAACCTGGATTTTGAGGGCGGATCTGTACTCAGCACAACCTACAGCAGAGCCCCGTGCCGCCAGCGGCATCCCAGCCTGGGTGACGCTCCGTGCCTCACCGGACACTGTCCACGTCAGCCTGGTAAGGGTTGGTGACGAGCTGCAGCGTGGGGTAGACGCTGGAGAGGGGCAGCATGCAGCGGTGCAGCGGCTGCTGCGGCAGCGTGTAGTTGGTGGGGTCAAACTCCCCGGGCATCACGTCCACAGGCACGGAGCTCTGCAGGCACAGCAGGGCTGTTGGGGGCCCGAGGGGCTGCAGGAGCCGCTCCGCCAGCCCAGGCACTCACACAGAGCTGCAGCAGGATCTCGTCCAGCATCTTCACCGCCTCCACGCTGGCGGCTTGCGTCTTCTTGGTCAAATACTTGGCCTGCAGCAGCGAGGATGCGCTGAGGAGCACGACCTCTCTCCATCCCTCCCTCCTTCCTGCCAGGCTCCCCACTGTCACCATACCTTGTGCAGGCTGTCGCGGCTCTGCGTGCTCTGGCTCAGAAGGTTCCCAGCCAGCAGGACGCGGGAGATGAGCGCAGCACAGCTCTGCTGGCCCTCGGCACCCAGCTGCCCCGTCACCGCGTCCACCAGCAGCTGGGTGCCCAGCAGGGACTCGCCGCTGCCGCTGCCCAACCCCAGCCCCGAGGCCAGCAGCACGAACCTGGGCGGGGGGCGGGCAGAAGGCTGCAGCCCCCATTGCGTCCCTCCGGACAGATGGGACGAATGGTCCCCGGGGCCGTGTGGGGACACACCGGGGACGCCACAAGGACTCACCTGTCTGCGCTGGGTCCCTGCCACGGCAGCTGTGGGGGCAGGTGGGCAAAGCAGTGCTCCTCCACCAGGAACTTGCCATCCTCCTGCTCGTGGCCATACACGGCCAGCACAGCGCCTGCAGCGGGTGGGGGGCACTCAGCCTCACCGCGGCTCTCCGGGCCGCCACCACCCGTGCGTCCCCTACCTGTCACCAGCCTCGATGCCTCAATGCTCCCCGTCAGCTTGATGCGCTGCAGCTCGTCCTCCAGCACCAGCTCGTCTGACGGGTCCACGTATTTGGCCAGGGGGGGCTGCGGCACCAGGTTGTGCTGGGGGGGCACAACAAGAGAGGGACCTCAGGTTCGTGGGGTGCGCGGCCTGTGCCGGGGCTGCTCTCCAGCTGCGTGCCGGCGCCGGGCTGCTTTCACTTAGCGTGCCGCCAGCGCGGCGGCCAAGGAGGAAGCAGCAGGGCGGGGGGGTCACCCTACCTCCTCGTTGATCTCCTGCAGGATGGAGGGCTGCAGCCGCATGGCCTTGAAGAGCGTCCCCACCACGCAGCACCGCTCGCCTGCCTGCAGCTGGCACAGCTTCCGCAGCAGCACGCCATCACCTGCGGGGCCGCGCGGCTCAGCCTGCACCCATCGCTTCCCCCCTCCACCACGCTGCGACTGCTCCCCAAAACGCCGCCCCGGAGCTTCGAGGCCTCCGGAGCAAACCCCCCATCCTGCTTCAGTGCTGGGAAAGCAGCCATCGAAGGGTGTCCCCGTGTCTGCGGTGTCCCTCCAGGCTTTGTCACCCCGCTGGGTTTTGGGGTGGGAAGTACGAGGGTGAGCAATGCGCCAGTCCCACAGACAGAACGGGTGAGGGTTTGGCACTGGGATGGGATGAGAGGGGGGAGGTGGGGGCTGGGAACGGCACCAGCAACGCCAGGAATGCGACTGCCTGGAGGCAGGAAGCGGCCTGCTGAGCCGAGCAGCTCCAACCCCCGCTCCGTGTGCCTGGGGGGCAGCTGGGCGTTCCAAAAAGAAAAACAATCCCAGAAATACGCTGCACGCCGCGGGACAATGGGACAGCATGTCGGGGTCCCCCCGGGGAGAAAGGAAAAGCGGGGAGCAGCGAAGGACTGAGGGGCGGGGGGGCGCTCACCCCATCGGAGCCGTGCCTGCTGCTCCAGGCGGGGCCGCATGCACAGCAGCCGCGTGGCGTAGAGGTGCGCGTACTGCCGGCCAAAGCTGCGCTCCCCCAGGCGGAAGGGCTGCGAACGGTCGGCAAAGTTGCTGCCGGCGCGGGCAAAGGTGGGGGGCTCGGCAGAGGGGGGGCCCAGCAGGGTGTGCCCCGGTGGGGGGGTGACCTCTGAGAACATGGCTGCAGGGCTGCAAGGGGAAGGGGAGCGTGAGGAACCCCGAAACGTGCCCCAAATGCACGCGACGTCTCCCGAACGGTGCTCCCCGTCACTCTGCGGCACCTTAAGGACCCGAAATGCCCCCCCCCCAAATAACTCCATGGTACCTGAATGCCCCCCAAAGATTCCCTGGCACCTGAAACCTCCCCCAAATCACACCCTGGCACCTAAAGCCCCCGAAGATGCTCCTTAACTTGCTGCCTGGCATCTGAAATCCCCAAGCTGCCCCTCCAGTCAATCCCTCGTGCTCAAATTCCCCCAAGGTCCCTCAGTGTCACTCCCTGGCAGACGAAGCCCCTCAAAACACCCCTTCAGCTCTCTGGCAACTGAAAAACCCCCAAAGTGCCCCAAGAATCCCCCCGACACCCAATAACCCCCAACCCGCCCTCAGGTCACTCATTGGTATCTGCAGCCCCCTCAGATGACTCCCTCCCCCCCATCGCTCCGCAGCCCCCGCACTGCCCTCCAGATCACCCCCGACAATCTAACCCTCCCCAGATCTCCCCCTGTACCCGAATCCCCCCGGAGGACCCCCCCCAATCGCTCAGTGCCACCTAAAGCCTCCAGTCGCCCCCTGCTCTCCCCCCGGCCCCTGAACCCCCCAGAATCGCCCCGATACCCGAATTCCCCCACAGCGCCCCCCCGGTACACAAAGGCCCCCAAACGCCCCGTGAACCCCCCGCACACAACCCGGGACCCCCACCAGCCACCTCGGGCTCCCGCTACGACCCTCCCCCACGGTGACGTACGGGGTCAGAGGTCAGAGGTCACGGGGGGGGCCGCCGCCTCCTCGCGGCACGGAGGGCATCGGGGGCGAGGGGGGGATACAGAATGGCGCGAACTCGGGGAGCGGAAGTGGCGTAACCGCGGGGCGGAAGTGGCGTCAGAGCGGCGCGGCGCCATGGTAACCGCGGTGGCTGCGGGGGTGCTGTTGCCATGGTAACGGTGGGGGCCCGGGCCTGCATCCCCCGGCCCGCGCTGACCTCGCGGCCCCACGGATCCGCCGGGCCCTACGGAGCGCAGCCGAGCCCCGCGCGAACCGTCCGCCCGGGGGATGAGCGCCGGGCCCGTGTGACCTGAGCCCCGCGTGGGGCCTGAGGGCAGAACGGCATCACCCCGCACCGCGGTGTCTGAAGGGCCGCGCAGCGAGCAGGGCCCGGTGTGCCCCCCTCCCTCCCCTCTTCCTGCCGCGGTGACGCTCGGGGCGGAGGTGAGGGGCGGAGGTGTGGGGCAGAGAATCGGTCCCTCTCCATTTTAAGGCCTCGTTGGGTTTTCTCCACGCTGAGTGGCTCAGCCGTCCCTGCCGCACGGCCGCGGGGGCTATAAAGGCACGGGGTGGGACGCGGGGCTGAAACCTGCACTAAGGGACGGCATGGCTGCTGCGCTCATCGTGCTGCTGGCCCTGGGGGCTGGTATGGGGCTGCGGGCCTGGGGACGGCACCTGGGGGTGGGGGGCTGAGGGACACGTGGGGAAAATGTGGGGATGGGCTCATGGGGCCAGGTTTTAGCATGGGGACATGGAGATAGTGGAGATGGGGAAGGGGTCTGTGTGGGGACCTGGGGATGGCAGGGATGGTGATGTGCAATGGGGTCAGGAGTGCACGGGCACAGGGTGGGGGCACACGGGGATGTCAGTGATCACTGTGTGCCCCAGCCCACCCTGGGGTGGCTGTGGGGCAGCGTGGTGACACCCCTGCACCTCCAGCCGTGCAGGTGGCAGTGACTGAGCTGCCGCAGGATGAGCACCAGGCCGTGGCTGCTGGGAGCCGCTGGGAGCAGCAATGGCACCTGCTGGGGGACGGCTCAGCTGCGGTGAGGATGCGCCCTGGCCATGGGGCACGTTATGGGGCAGCCCTACACTGGGTCGGGGTACGGGGTGGGAGACCCCCTGAGGGTCTGTGTTGTCCGCACAGTGGGACGCAGATGAAGGAGATGCAATGGGACCGGGCAAGGGGATTAAATGCAGAGCCTGCGTCGCTCTGGTGAAGAAGCTGCAGAAGATTGTAGGTGACGACCCTGATGAGGTGAGTGGGGTGTGCGGGGTCCTGGAGGAGTCGGGGGGCCCAGCGGCTGCAGTCCCACTGACACCACGGGGCCGGGACCCACAGGAGGCCATCAACACAGCGCTGGACAAGGTGTGCGGTGCAGGGAAACGCGTGAAGGACATCTGCAGGCTGCTGGCGAAGAAGCTCCGGCAGCAGCTCAGCGATGCGCTGCAAGATGACGACGA